TCACAACATGACCGGGACACCATCAAAACATGACCGGGACACCATCAAAACAGGACCGGGACACCATCACAACGTGACTGGGACACAATCAAAACATGATCAGGACACCATCACATCATGACCGCGCCACCATTACATGATCGGGGCACCATCAAAACATGACCGGGACACCGTCACAACACGACCGGGACACCATCAAAACATGACCGGGACACCATCACAACATGACCGGGACACCATCACAACATGACCGGGACACCATCACAACATGACCGGGACACCATCAAAACACGACCGGGACACCATCAAAACACGACCGGGACACCATCACAACATGACTGGGACACAATCAAAACATGATCGGGACACCATCACAACATGACCGCGCCACCATCACATGATCGGGACACCATCAAAACATGACCGGGACACCGTCACAACACGACCGGGACACCATCAAAACATGCCCGGGACACCATCACAACATGACCTGGACACCATCACAACATGACCGGGACACCTTCAAAACAGGACCGGGACACCATCACAACGTGACTGGGACACAATCAAAACATGACCGGGACACCATCACAACATGACCAGGACACCATCAAAACAGGACCGGGACACCATCACAACAGGACCGGGACACCATCACAACATGACTGGGTCACCATCCGCCCACCAGCTCTGACGGTGACCCGACGGCGCCCGTCCGCCTATTAGTTTTGCAAGACCCCATAGCGTGGCTATTGGGGAACTACCATATAACATTGCCGACTACTGCTACATGCAAAAGTGTAAAACATGTTTGCTTCCTTCCTCACCCCGACCTCGCAGCACTGGAGGCTGATGAGACTTGGGTCGCGGCTGAATCACCAGCTCAACGGAGCAGTGCACAAGGACTTGAAGGTGGCATTCAGTGTCAGTCTCAGCTTGAACATTTCGGCTCCGCATTCTTGAATTCTCCACTGTGGAAGAAAAAACTGAACTTAGCAAAGGTACCGCTGTGGCCAAAAGGACAACCTCGATGTCGGTGCCAGGCACTTGCCAAGAAGTGGTTTTGGCATCAGGCTCAGCCCTCCTGGCCGTTGCACAGCACAGCACTGCGCAGCACTCCGCAGTGCACTGCAAAAAGGCACCAACAAGTGTCATTGCTTCCAAGTCACTGGATATCTTCCACAAAAGTGCCTCAAACACCGTCTGCTCACACAAAAAAGGCCTTGTACGCTCCTAGGTCAGCCTGGAATAGCACACCAAATTCGTGAGCGTGTCCTTTGATATCCTTTGATTCAGTAGTTCGAAGCTTAGGTTGGAGGCCATCGCTATTAGGTTGGAGGCCATCCCTATTCCGCCGGCCTGCCGGCGTGTTTTGTGGATTGTTTTGGTTAGTATTGCTTGTATTGGTTAGTATTGCTTGAGTATTGTCTCTCCGCGCGAGATTTTCGACAGCCTGACGCCCCCCCCCTAGGTCATAGGTCGTAGGTCGTAGGTAGTAGGTGGTAGGTGGTACGTAGTAGGTAGTAGGTAGTAGGTCGCTGGATCAGAATAGACAACCATTGGACTGAGACATGTCGATCGCTGGATCAGAATAGACAACCTCTGATTCAACAAACTCTCCCAGCAAAATGTGCAACTCCAATGCACCCACAAGTCTGATTGAGCAGGGTATTGTTGTTCGATGTCATTCTGGGTCTTTCACTTCAAACGGTTTGGAGAAAAAAGCGACAAATCATGCAAGATCTAGAAATTCTTCGGTCGCTTTGAAGCCTTCTGTGTGTGAAAAGGAATATCTGGTGCGTGTCGCAATCCCTCGAGATGGTCGAAAAAAAGATCTGATAATTCAACATGCACACGGCCAAGTAGTTTGGAAGAAGAGTCGTTTTCAAGGTCATGTTTTGTGGATAGTCTTGGTTCGCATTGCTTGTGTTGGTTTCACTTGGTTCCTCTTAGGTGATTCGACTGAGACATGCCGGTTCGGATCGCTGGATCAGAATAGACAACCTCTGATTCGGATTTGTTCCATTTCATGGTCAAACAACCTTGAAATAAACATCAACAAACTCACCCAGCCAAATGTGCACCTCCAATGCACCAACAAGTATGATTGAGCAGGGTATTGTATCATTAAGCTGCCTGCCAATGCGGGCTCGAGCTGGTGGCCGGCGGCATGCCGAAGGCTGTAAATTAGGTTGGAGGCCATCGTTATTAGGTTGGGTTTCGACTTAGAGATGGAATTTCAAATCCAGGGACTAGACTAGATGTCAATGTCTGCCACAAGGTTGTGAACTCTCGAGAGGAACAGCGAAGAAATGGTGTCCTTTTACCGGGCATGAGCTAAAGAGCAGTGGCGCATTGAAGTAACATACAAGCTTATGGTTGTAAATGATACCATTTTGTAACATGGCTCCCTTGAAACTTTACACCTGCAAAATTCATCCAATGTCTCAAACCTCTTCGCTGCACTTTGCTTTCTTTTGTCTTTACCAAGCTCGGCACTGAAGAGCTTTGAGGCCCGCCGTTCTAGCCTAGCCTTTGGCTGAAAGCTCTCCTCAAACACTCAAGTTTGAGAGAATTGCTGCGTCAACACTCTCTCACAACCGCAATGGCGAGCCTTTACGGCCGGCTCTGGCGCTTTACAAACTTCTTCTGGAAGTTCAAAGGCGAAGTCCCTCCCAGCATCCTTGAGAGTAACAGGCGCCGCATCTTTATATGATTTTATATTGATTAATTGCTGGTGACGCATGTTTGAAACTCTACGAAATTCTATTCTATGAATCTGCTTGTGTCCTTCAGCCACTGGTTTACGGAGGGGTCGTGCAAGACAAACATCAAGTACCTCAAGCGTCATCGTGCACGACCGACACAATTGATCGGGTTTGATTTGGTGTGGTCAAGAGGGAAAAAAGGAAGACTGTTCAAACATTCTATTCAGTTTTGCAGCGTTCATGGAGGGCACAGGATTGTGGCCGATGCGGATTGTGCAAAGTCTGACCCTTGCTGCCTGTGCCTAGTGAAGGTTCTTTCGGATTTGACTTGGAGTGTTCTGGCCAAAGCCTTAAAGTTTGGATTTGACTTTGCCGTCTGAGTCAGGCCACTTGTTCAAGTTCTGCGCATCGATTTTGATGTTGCCCTTGCAAAAACATGCCGACATATCATTCAATCCAGTGGCAGAACGAAGTGGTCTTCAAAAGCTGACTCATCTTTGGGGATGTTCAGGATGATACTTAGTTCAGGATGTCATTGGACATTGGACGATGTTTTAAATCTGTTCTTTTCCCAAAAATCTAGGAACCAAATGATTGTGTGAGCGATTCTTCAAGGAAGAATGAGCTATCCTGCGTCCAGTTACTAGGAGCATGTCTAGTACCTGAGAGCTACTATAGCTAGCTAGCTTATACCTCTTCCTCTAATGGCCTACCACCCCCAGGCTTTAGGAACAAACAGAAACAACAAAAATGCAGTTTTGCCTCCTGCCTTTGAGACTTGACCAGCCTTCTCCAGGTGGAGCCTGCAGCAATGAATGCAAAAGGTCTGGGAGGAAAGAAGAACGGAAGGAGTCTCTTGTAGGGAAACGGAAAAGGTTACACAAATAAGCAAGACCACTCCTGGTGGATGAGGTCCACCGCCGGTCTTTACCAGCTGGACCATACTGAAGCACCAAATCCTTAAAACTAGTGATGACAAACTAGTGATGTGCGCATCTCAATGGTTAGTGCCTGGGTGCTTCAAGCCAGAATGCTTCACATTTTTGTGCATCTGAGCGTCACGGTCCGTGCGGACTATGGCGTCGACGTCACAGTGGCCCCCTTGACGAAAGGCGTTTCAACCAGTCATGATAGCCATCTGAGGCCGTCAGTGATATGCTGATATACATTGATATGATATACCATCCATCTCAGAGCAGCGCCTTTTGCAGCGGCGATGATAGCCACTTCAACTCCACTGGAGCTGTAGCAAGAGACCTCTCAAGGTAGTTGGCTTCGAAGAGTTCATCGAACATAAACAAGATGTGGCAATGACTAAGTGTGCTTTGAGAATCCCTGTGTAGTATCCGTACGCCTTCGCTGTGGGTTGTTGCTTCGCAGCTTCTGTGACCAAATCACGGAAGGATCTGCTCTCTGCCACCTTGCACCACTGCTTTCAGCAACCAACTCTGTGCTCAGGAAAAGCAACCAATTGTTATACATTAAGTGTGACTGTCCCACAAATATTCAATTTGTTTCATTCCAAGGGTCTTTAAGCAGGCTTCTCCTGCCGAGGTTTCCTTGAAGAATCCTAAAATCTGATGTCCGCTGCCCGACATCCTTGGTCGCTTCACTAGTCTGCCTCGCTACGCCTAGAAGCCGCCAAAGAGAAAAGGCAAAATGTTCCCTTTTCAACAGCTAAGACCCCGGTCCCTGCCCGGCCTTTGCAAAGTCTATGAGGAAATTGGTGGAGCCATTCTTCAGCCACCTGACAGCTCTCACTTTCAGCATGACATGGCCGAACGACAGCACCAGCTTAGCTGGCTGAGGCCGCTACTCATTGGGCTTCTTGTGAAGCACAAATTGGCAGCCTTTCCTCCAAGCCACGGGCAGTGATAAAGCATGATAAAGCTTCTTCAATTTCAAGAACTTATGTGTCTGAAAACACTGTTTACATGTGTCTTTCAACTAAGCACTCCTATCGCCGCACACCGCACAGAAGGAAAAAAAAGAAACTCTTCGCAAAAGGTAAAAAGTGTTCGACTTTTTGACTTTGACTCTTTGGAAAGGCCGACCTTGGTGCAGACAACTTTTCAGCTTTTTGACTTGTCTATTGTCTACTTTTGATGTTTCTATCTTTTCAACTTCAGAGCGACGTGGCAAAGCGTGTCCGCGAGTGATTGCACGCTGGTACGCTGGTACGCTGGCGGTGGCTAGCTGCGCTGATGACGCTGGTTACGCTGGTTACGCTGATTACGCCGATTACGCTGGTTGCGCTGGTTACGCCGATTACGCTGGTTACGCTGGTTACGCTGGTTACGCTGGATACGCTGGTTAC